GCGGATTAATCCGCCTTTTTTCCAAAAATTAGGGGCGGTATTGTAGGTCCGCCAACTTTATTGAGACCCAGCTCCAACAGCCGCAGACAAGGATTAGCAATGGGGTGCAAATGGATAATAAAATAATGGGTAAGTTCCAAACAATTGTGATTATACAATGCGTTTAAGCGGCTTCCCGTAAGGGGCAGTATCTTATTAGGAGCCTTGTTAATCAAATATTACGTTTTTTGCCGTAGTGTTTGCTGTCTCTTACGATCCCGTCATTACTGTCCCTCTTCAGCCTTTTCTCGTTTTAAGACTCAGCTCAGAAACATACTAAAAACTTGGAGAGAGCCCTGTTGTCGCATTAGGGCGTCGGACGTATTCGCGCCAAATGGAGGTACTACCTGGGGAATAATATTCTGGCACAGAGACAAATATTCAACAAAATTTCTATGGATCGAAAATTTTGATGGATAATTCCGATTAAAGGCAGTTGGCACGATAAATCCCCCAAGACGACTAGGATCAATACTCCTGGCAGGATAGAATTCCGCGACCCTGGGCAGGCGCTGCATAGCGGTTTCCCCGAGGAAGGTGCCCTTATAAGGGCCCTATCAAGCCACAACTTTACGTCCCAAACGCCCGCCACGCCCGCCCGCCCACAAATGGACGACCGTTCCTGACGCTCGTATTCATTCATTTGCTAACCAGGAAAGGTCAACAGGTCAGCCCGGCCATTTCCAATGAGGTGCACACCGTTGTACGCGTCTTGGGACGGTGAACTCGAATCTACCTTCAGAATTTGCGGAACGATTCTCTGAACGGAGTTATGGAGGGTTTTATCCCCGCGTGGTTGTTTCACATGCTATCGCGAGGAAACGTGGAAGCGTCTTTATATACAAGAATGGAGTCAAACTGAAACGTGGCAGTAGAGCGCAACGGATAGCGAGCGGGTTTACTAGGCGAGACGTCGTAGGATCGGTTCTCGGCAGGGTGCCTTTTTTGCATTTGTCCAAGAACATGGCCGACAAAGCTTCTAACATCTCTGCTCGCCTGCACTATCCTGTAAGGAAACTGCGGCCAGTGAGTGTGTTTCGTTCCCCCCCCCCCGTAGCACATGTCACAAGGGTTTTTGCAATGAAATACCATCATATTCATGTTCAGCGGGTTAAATTACCCCTGGGGACAAGTTTCTAGCCGAATCTGATATTTCGACCTAACTTGGAAAATGTGAGTTATTCCATGGGTAATTAGCAGCAGTTTGGAGCTCACCTACCATCGATGACTGGTCTCGGAATGGAATTTTTTCCTAGTAATCAGGAAAATGATGCAGACGGCACGAATAAATAAGCCAGGTGTTCTGTGCCTGAAGACATGACTGAAGAGTTATTTCAGTTCGAAGACCAGTCATCACCAGTATGCTAGTCATAGTATCGCTGTTAGCTATCAGTCAGCCATGACATACCCCATTTTTTCGAAGTTGAGTCAGAACCTCAGATTTCGCTAAGGTGACGTCTCTGGGGGTTATTTGACCCCCTGAACACGAATATGATACCTGTTTTGCGCGAAGAGCGCTGTGAGTCGCGCTACAGGTGCCAACGCTTCGGCGCCAGCGCGCCTGGAAGAAGAAAAAAGTAAGAAAACTCCATAACTCCGCTCAGAGAATCGTTCCGCAAATTTTGAAGATAGTTTCGAGTTCACCGTGTCAAGATGAGTACAATGATGTGCATCTCATTGCATATGGCCGGGCTGACCTGTTGACCTTTCCTGGTAAGCAAATTATGAAGCGAAGGGATTGGTATGAAGCGGCCGTGATGCTGCATGCATATATGGGTACACATATGCAGCCGTATCTTCGGTCGGTGATTGGTAAGATGCCTACGGGAAACTCGTCCGAAATCGATTTACAAGTCACTGAGAACGGAGGCTTTTCTTCGCAGGATTTTGACCGTTTCACTCCGTTCTTTCGCCATTTCCCCACTATACATAATTTTTCGTTTTCGTGAATTTTTTTATTTTCTTTGTTTTTTTAGCATGGAGCTCTTGTTGCCACACAGTTTTATTATCGGCTCAGCCTATCTGTTTCGTTCATCACGTCGATTTTATCAGTGACCACGATGATATACTTCCTTCATCGACATTGCACTAGCAGCTTATTTTTCCACAGCAATTTGAGGGTTTGCTTTTCTTTGAACTGCTCACTTGTGAAGTTCCGTGAGGTTCCTTGCTTTCTGCCTCCACTAGATCAACCCACATGCGCATTCCGCACAGATTGAATGGGCCTAGAGAATCGAAGCACTGTATACTTCCCATTGGTGGGAGACTCTCAGCGAAAAATAGGAGTGCCATAATGAAGTGTTCTACTATTGCAGGAATGCCGCACGTCAGTGCTCGCCACTAGAGGTGGGCATTGTCACGAATGGCTTGACCCGCAGTCAACAACCGCATAGGATTTCTTTCCTTGCCAATTAGTTCGACGTACGGTACGATATGCCTTATATAAGGCAATTTGTTATGAAGGCAGCACACTCGTCACTCGCTCTAGAGTCACGCAAAGGGGCAATCTCTGCAATGCACTAATGCGCACCGGAATACCTGGGCCGGAGAAGAGTCCTACAAAATGGTTCTGTGCGAAGTCTGCCTTCAAGAGGTTGCTGTGCTCAGAGGAACATAGCCTGCCCTCAATTTACATGAATATTGGAGAAGCAATGGGCACAATGTCGTCGTAGAGCGTTGAATCACATGCAGAGCTCTTCCGTAACTTCGCTAACTTGCCTCACTTCTGCTCACCTGCACCGGCACCTGCATTCCTTTCTTTCAGCTTCCTTTTACTGAACTGTTCCGTTGAGAAGAGAAAGCCTTACTTATATTTTCAATTACAGGTTCAATTTCTTTCACTGTGCCTTTGCTGCCTTAGTTACGACTCTTATCAACATCGGAATGAAAGTGAGTTTTGAGGAATATCTCTCTAACTTTTGACCAAATCCAACCGTTCAAAAAATACCCTCCAAACAACCTTAACAACTACTTTCGCACTGATGAGCGAAGGAATACGCAAATACCCTACACATTCACAGCGAACCCTACATTCAATCTTCTTTTCAGTCTTCAGAATGCCTCGAACTGACGTGCCAGGAATCCCAGGGACTTTGACATATAAATCGATATAAATCATTGCTGCTAGGGAGTAGGAACACTTACGTGCAGTCTTTACTGGGGTGACCGTTGCCACAGTGCCTACGGGAACTCGTCCAAAAATGCTCGTCCAGTGCCAAAAAAAGGTTTTTTCGCAGCTATTCGGCCGCTTAACTCCGCTTTTCGTCATTTTCCCCACTACATAGCACCCTGCTAATATTTTTGAGCGAGCACTAAATTACCGTCTACATGCCTTTAAGCTGCCTCCTTCTGTGGCCTAGTACGAAAGTTGTCGGCAAGGTGCACGGTTCCTCTCTCATACGCGGACACCAGAAGATTATTTATAAGTATCGGAATTAAAACTGACTTACATCAGCTGGAAATCACCCTATTCTGATTGAACCAATAGACCCCTCACGACAATCAAAGCGTAGCAGACCAACTAACTGAAATCATCCAGTGCGGAAATCAGACGAAGACTCTGAAGGTCTTCATGGTACCTGTAGTGCGAGAACCTCCACCCCAAAACTGCGCCTTGTAGGTGGGCGACCACCGGATAATCTATCCAGGCTCACATTCTTATGCTTCCACAGTTCCAGTATCAAAGAGAATGAGGCGCAACCTTACTGGGTTGAATTAGATCCCGAGAACCTCACTCGATTTTGTATTACACGTGACAATTCACCGCTGACACTTGAGAAACATGTGCTGTTTTGTGACATGGCTTTCAGTAAGTTACACAGGAACGTCGACTTCGTTTAAGTACAGCGAGATTTTCAGGCTCACCATTTGACATTATCATTCGTACATGCGACACCATGTGATCTGATTTTACCCAAGGTCCTCTATTTTACGATGAATATTTCGCTGAGCTCTGTCTGCATCTCGGCACAGCTTATGCTCGTTTCGATTGTGGCTGAGCGATGGGTAGCTGTCGTTTTTCTTAGTAACTATGAGAAAGGATATAGGAAACTTGGACCAGCATTGATAGTAGCTGCTGTGAGTGCTTGAAGAATTACATGTTCCAATTGAACTGCTGTCAAAGGTTCCTATTTAGGTTGTGATCACCATTGGTATCTGTCTTTTTCTGTATTGGGGTGAGACATTCGACGAGCCACAGATCAATGCTCGAGTGCTCCCGAGCACCATATTTCTTCGAGGGAATACGTTAATATTCGTATTGTTAGCTACGAACTTCACCGGCTTTGCTCTGACGATCGCATTGCGCTTTGTTAGACCGAAATTGCAGATACGGTAAGTCTCGGAAATATTGGAAAAAAATACAAAACCCTTGCTTGATGGAACCCCTTGAGAGGCGGGACTACTGAGCTAGGATCAGGCATTGAGAGAACAGTCCAACATAATTATATTGGATTTGGATGTTTTTATCCTACTATATATAATCCGCTAAGTTTGTCTGTTGGTGTGTGTGTGTGTGAATGTTGTGTGTATGTGTGTTTGACCGGAAATTCATAACTTCCTTCAAAACAGCGATAGTGCGCTCAAACTGATAAGTGATGTAGGGGGTCGGGC